GTTTTTTCCCCTATCGACAGAGAGGAGAAAAATGGGGTTTGACTTTGGCTTTTAATAAAGTTCAGGTTGGGTTTAGTATGGATCGGGTTTAATTGTCTCAAACTCCACTTTTATTGCTTCTGATTAGGGTAAAAAGTGTATTTTTACTGCTATTCACTGCTATTTCACACTTTTGAGCGCTTTTGTGAGCGAAAAGCGCTCACAAGCGCTATTGTTTACCTCTAAATCCCTACTCGTGGTGGCCTTCGCTAATGCAAATAGCGGCGCTATATCGGTGCTATTAGCGTTACTTAAAACACTGGTAAAAAGTGTTGAAATTTGGTCTAAGAAACTGTCTCAAACTTAAAAAAAAGTTAGTAATTTGATTGGACAGTTTGAGAAGGGCCCAACACATGTCTGAATGATGTTTGATTAGTGCTGTACTTAATATGACTAAACGATGTGGGCATCAATAAACTTTGCTCTAGTTCGGAGATTTGATGTTAGGTGCAAAATATTTTTGAAGTTTTTGTGCACCTTTTCTTCATGTGAAGCTGCGCTCCACTGTCTACAATATTTGATGGGGGCAAACCATAGATGATTTCTCATGAATATGAAATAGTATTCAAGCAAGATGTTGTTAACCCTTCTATGATCAATTTTTTTTCTGCTGATTTGTTGAACTTATTAAGACTTAAATGAGATGAATCTTTATGTGCTATACATTTTATAGCTTTAGTGTGTCTTTCCATTAACAGTTCTTCACATTGTTCATGTCATAGTTCAAAACCGGCTTTAGGTATTTCAACTAATTGAACTATAAATGAAAATAGCTATGACATTGTTTTGTCTATATTTCTGTGCTTTCTATCATTGTTATGTTTTAGCTAGTGTGCCACACCTAGGCCTCTTCTCTCTTCTGCATTAATTTTTTGTCATAATGTTAGTTATATGCCCATGCAACCACTGATTAGTATTGTCCTTTATGTGTGCAGAAGAAGAAAAAACCATTTGATCTGGCTGTGTAGCCTGCAGTCTCTTATTTTCACATAATGTCAACGGGTCCTGGCCTTGAATCGCTTGTTGACCGTATGTGCTCTATTATTTACTCATTTTGGTTACATTTGCATTTACATAGTTTGTGATTAGCATTCTTCAAAACTACAATGGGTTTTCACAATTAATTTGGTTTTTGTTAATTAATGTCACTAATTTTTCCTTTTTCGTTTTTGCATACAGAAACTATATCAGTCATTACAAATGATGGAAGGAACATTGTGGTAAGTGTCATTTCCTTCATTGCTTTTTGATAGCTTGATTGCATCCAAAACACTAATTGTTTTTTAACACAAACCATCTTCATTTAGGGGATCTTGAAAGGCTTTGACCAAGCTACCAATATTATTCTGGACGAGTCACATGAGCGGGTTTACTCGACAAAGGTTCATTTACCTGTCTTAAGTGTTGTTTCTAGGTCATTTTCATGATATTATTGCTGTCCTCAAAATTTATCTTTAAAGCTCTAGGATGTTATGTTTTGCATTTAAGATCTCAATACTGAGCTATGTGGTTCATAAAAAATTGCAATTAAAACTGCCTTTTGCAATAGACAGTTCTATTTCCAGCTGCAGCTATCTATTAATGTGATTACAATATTTTCACAACAACAGTTAGAAGTAAGACATTTTGTTTCTCCAAAAATAGCTTGCAATTAATCTAGTTGGATTTTTTATTTGGAAAAATGACTTCTTTCTGCAACCACATGTGTAAAAATGTTACAGTTAGAGTACTTGCAACTATTTTGTGCTATTGCAACTGCTATTTGAAATGCAATTTTTTGCATACAATAACTCATAAATTTGGTAAGTAGTGAAAATAATGTGTTTGGTAGCTGGAACTGTACATGAAACTTATCTGTTTTTTAAATGACTGGTAAGTAGTGAAAATAATGTGTTTGGTAGCTGGAACTGTACATGAAACTTATCTGTTTTTTAAATGATATCTGAGGCATATTTCTATCATTTTTGGTAGCTGGAACTGTACATGAAACTTATCTGTTTTTTAAATGATATCTGAGGCATATTTCTATCATTTTGTCGCATAATTGCATTGAGTTTTCCTTTCAGCTTGCTTATATTTCCCACTTAGTGCAAATCCAAGCTTCCTCGTTGTTTGGATAACATGCATAATTGACATTGGATAGGCTTCAGTAGCAGAAATGGGATCTGATTAAATGAAGGAACATGGAGCATTTTCCCTGATAATGCATAAACAAAATTAAATAAAAAGCCTCTGAAATATCAAAATTTAGGTAAAAGCATTTTCCCTGATAATGCATAAACAAAATTAAATAAAAAGCCTCTGAAATATCAAAATTTAGGTAAATATGTACTATTGTTTTCTTGAGAATATTATTCTTGTTTATAATTTAATGGGTAAAGATGGGTAAATATGTACTATTGTTTTCTTGAGAATATTATTCTTGTTTATAATTTAATGGGTAAAGATGTGAAGATACATGTAGTTAGGGGTACTATTTTTAAAGATAGATTTATGACCAATAGCAAATAGATTCGCTGGTTTGGTTCTGAATTGCCCAAAGCAGAAAGAGTTAATGGGCCACCATCTCACCATGTTACATGTCCATGTACTTCCATGCATGGTTGCAGTTAAGGGTTCAAATGGATAATATGCTTCATGTCAGATTTGTTGAATTGAACGTACATGTTGATATCCGATATTCATCTAAAATATGAACATAGTTACAGTAGTGGTAAAAATATCCAACAGACCCTCTGAATTATCCAAATATACGTATAGTTCAAATACATCAAGTGCACATAATATAATATCCTGGTTAATACTCTGAATTATCCAAATATACGTATAGTTCAAATACATCAAGTGCACATAATATAATATCCTGGTTAATAAAGACAAACTCATGTGATCTTATATACGCTAAATACATCAAGTGCACATAATATAATATCCTGGTTAATAAAGACAAACTCATGTGATCTTATATACGCTTGACACTTTCTTGTAAAAAAAATTTGAATCTAAGGGTAGACCTCCCTCGCTAGGTTTCTTAATCATACTTGAGGCTCTTAACTTTAAGGTGCTGTCTTTTTGGGTCTTGGATTCCATAAAATCGACATTAGGAGTGGTACAACCTGCAGCTACCAATAAAATGAGCTTTACTTTAGTCCATTTGCGTTAACATTTTACTTTTTTATGTGTAATATTACAGATAACAGCATTAGCATCAAACTTGTTCATTCTATCTGAATTTTCCACAAACAATAACGAAGCTAACTCTTGTGACCTTTATGTTCTATTTGTAGGAAGGTGTGCAACAACTTGTTCTTGGTTTGTACATCATAAGGGGTGATAATATGTAGGTTTCTCTCACTATCTTAAAGATTCTCGCTTTATTTGTTATCGTTATTTGCAAGGTTCTTTGTAATGGTTTCCCTTTTCCTTTTCTTCTTGCAGTTGTGTTGTGGGAGAATTAGATGAGGAGCTGGACTCAAATCTGGACCTATCCAGACTTAGGGCACACCCTCTGAAGCCTGTGATTCATTGATCATCCAATTGCCCGAGCTTCTCTGCATGGAATTTTGAGGTTTGGCTGACAGAAAAATTTAATCTACTGAACTATGTCTGATCTTAGGGTGTAGTATCTTAAGGGATCAAATGCAAAAGAAAATGGTTTATGCATATAATATTTGCAGCTTCATTTGAATATCCTGTTTAAGGGGTATTTGCTCCATATATTCTGCGAATTCTGTGCCATTAGTCCTCTGTAAGCAATTTACATTTTGTTTCATTTGTCCCTTATTTAATATTTATGTACACTGATGTTTTTTGTGGATCAAATTTCTCGGTAGAAAACCTTAAGAGTGGCCCTTTATGTGTGAAATCAGTTAGTATCCTTTTCCAATAATTTCTATTAGACACTAGAATTTGATCACTCGCACTGCACATGCAGTATTAGGGGTTTCTGATTTATGTATCTACAATTAGTAAGTATATATGGTCATAGATGCAAGAACAAATGCATGTTTTCTAAAGGAGTATTTATTTTGATTATGTAGGAATAAGATTCTATTTATTTAATTTTCTAACAAAAGCATATTTAAAGTCAAGTATTTTTCTGTTTTTTAAAAATAAGTCATAATCAAATGCTTCTTTACTAAAATTAAATTTGTAATCAAATTAGCAATTAGTTTCAGTGTTACTACTATACATAACAATAACAATACCTTTTGTTCTATTATATAAATCTTTGTGAATATTTAGTGTTTTACTCAAATTAAGTTGCCCAGATTTAATGAATTACAGATCCTTAATTACTTAAATATGACTTACTCATCCCTAGATATTAAATCATCCTTATTAAATTTGAAACCCCAGAGTTTGATAATAAATTTGAGCGCTCTCTTGATTGGGAATTCTTCTATTAACCATTGGGTTTTAGTTTTTCTAAACTAACCAATAGTTAATAGTCATTTTAATCAGTTAAAATTTGTAAGTAGAACAATTATAATCCTTCTATTAACAGTCGGGATGGGATAATTCAGAAGAACGTGAAAGATGTTGGACCAAAGGACTAAAATCACTCTTTTGTAATAATATATACTGCAAATAGATAAACTACTGACCATTTTACTTCCCAACATGTTAGATGCTATCTTTGGTTGAGACGTCCTTTTTATGATTTGTAACTTCCAAGTAAATGTTGACACTTAACCTTAGAGATTGAAGTAGATGAGGGGAAACTGCTTAACTTTTTATTATGTTCAGCTTACTGCTTTTTCTCTGCTTTTGTTCTTTTCAGCCTCCGATAAGGTGTAGTGATGAACTAACAATGCAAGTTCTAATTTCAGAATTAAGCTTTTGGAAATTGAAGATAAATCTAAGTGAGCTTGAGGGTACAGTATAGATCTGCTGGTTCTGTACGATGTGTTTGATGACAGTAGTCGGATAATCTTTATTTTGTACCTGTAGAGATTTATTCCTGCAGTAAACTTCGCTGTTGCTGATTATAAATTTGTACCTGGCATTGTAACCAATTCTGATGATATGCTGTTTTTCTAATGTACATGATCAGCTAACTGCGACCTTTTAAAGGTTGATGCGCTTTTCTTTTTCCAGACAATGTTCTTGATGGATTATATCTGTTGTCTTGCAAAATGTTCGTTTTTTTAATAATAATATTTTCTGGTTTATATCAAAGCCATAATCACTCTAAGTTTTCTTCTGAGTCGATTGCTATATTTTCTGCAACTTTAGGACAAATGTAGCCCTGCCTAAACATTTAGGCACTTCTATTTGGTTCTTGAGAACGTTACGACCTTGTCATCCAAATATGTACCTTTGTTTCCATTTGGGCAAAGTTTTGTTTCATATTTGTCATGCACGTTCTCATTGTTAAGTACATCCCTATACATATTAAAGAGAGTCAAAATTGATGACATACTTGTTGGGCATGCCTGCGGAGATGCGTAGAAAGATCGGAACTGGTAATCTCATCAGGGGAGAAGGGGGAAGGATTTGAAGGTAAGGGAATGCAATTAAAAAAAACAAGAATCACTCGATTTTAATGGTTCTCGGCCATGATCAAGCCTTTTTTTTTTCTCTCCCCCTTTTCCTTTTCTTCTGAATTAGTGTTTATAAAATGCTCAATGTGAGACTAATGTCATGCTTGGAGAAAAACAGCGATGGAAAACTATAGAAGGTATACTAGAAACATATGCTTTTAGAAACCTTCTGTTATATCTGACAATGTATTTGAACATATTGAACAAATTTTACACAACAGCGTTTGTATCCAAACTTAACAGATTATGAATTAAAATTTCACATTCAAAAAATTGAAAACGAAAGCACATATGCTGTGTGTGTGTGTATACATATGAATCCAAAGCAAGTGCCAAAATAAACTAGCTTCTCGCCGGTAAAGGTCCTATCTTAAGTTTACATCATTGATAAAATAACAACAGCATCTAAATCAACCATGAATGGCATAGATGATCTATGCCGTTAGAATCCACACTGGTTACTCGCAGGAACGCGTCAATTATTGGCATCCGAGAGTTGAACGCCTAACCAACCAATTCCCTCGTCAAACGGGCATAAAAAACTCCACGATTCAATCCGCGCGTGACACTTCTTACCTCGGGTACCAGTTCCTTACGCAACAGCCCTTCATCCTAGGACGCGCGATGCGCTCTCCAAGCTATAAATACCCCCTTAACCCTTCCCCCGTCCCCCATTCATTCGTTAGACGAAGAGAAGGAGCAAAGGAAATTAAAAAGAGTAACCAAAGAGGAAATGGCCGACCACAACGATGTCAGATTCCAAGCTGGCCAGGCCGTCGGCCAGGCCCAAGTGAGCCCTTTTCCATCTTTTTTCTCGCTTGAAATTTTATCGATACATAGCAAAGGAAAGTAGTATCTCACAGAGGGGTTTTTTTTTTTATTTGCCCCCCACACCCACCCAGGTCAAGAAGGATGATTTGATGGACAGGGCATCACAGTCGGCGAGGGAGACCAAGGAGGAGACCGCGGGGTTTCTTCAGCAGACGGGAGAGCAGGTGAAGAACATGGCCCAGGGAGCGGCGATTTTGCTGTGAAAACGCCGGTCGGATTGACAACGCGGCGCCGCGAGCGCCGGACACACCACCACCACCACCAAGACCACCGTCACGAAGCACTGATGATCAAATATTATGGGGGTTGATTATGCTACATTGGATTTTTATTTTTTATTTTAAAAAGTTTCTTTTGTTTTGTGTTTGAATAAGCCTGGCCTTTTGGTTTAGCTGCTTGTGTTTCTTAGGAAATCAAGTAGTTACTCTCGTTCTAGGAGTCTTAATTACGTTAGGAATATTCATGCCTTTATCGCAGGCGTTGTTTTGTATTTTTCCAATGTAGTGAATTATTTTTGTTGGTGAAGTATCTCTCTCTCTCATATCTTCGGTAACTTTTACCTGGCGTGCGAAAATTGGAGTTGCAATTTCCCCGCGAAAATGGAAAGCAGCGTACAAAATGTTATTTTTTCCCCCTTCACTTCTAGCCTCTACATTCAACAAGAATCGATAATATTTTTTTTTATAGAAAGTGCGAAAGATCAGTTTGATCCCTATAATAGGACCTCATACTCAAATAGATCCTTGCATTTTTTTTTTCAACTTAGTCCTTTTACTCCTTGCTAGATGTAAACTTAATCTGTTTTTAACCATCCGATACAATCTCTGTTAAAAAACATTTTGAAGGGTCAATACTACCCTCAACCCTAAAACATAGATATCCATGTACAAAAAAAAAAAAGAATGATTGCTCGTTCTTCCCCTATCAAATGAAAAAACACCCAAAAAAAACCCTCCTTCCCTACAAAACTGACAACCCTAATTAATTATGGAGTCGCAAGAAGTGGAAGCAAACGAACATTCAATGGCAACCTTGAATCTTGACAACGTGAATTGTGATAGGTATTTGTTCATGATCCTTTTTTATTACCTCTATGTTATGGTGTTATGGTTTATCACATTTTCTAAAAAATATATTATTTATTGCTTCGTTAGGATATGTTGTATCCAGTGAAAATTTGATTACAAGAAACTATTTTCTAGTATTGGGGTTTAGTATATGCTCCATAAATTTTTATCGAGATACTTTCAGAAACTTACATGTTATAGTGTTAGAGTTTATCACATAGTCCGCATATTTTTTTTCGTTCGAGTAGAAAAATATCATGCTTAATTCAATATAAAAATGTGAAAAAAAGAGTATGAACAATATATTTTGAAAATATGTGCATCAGAGATCAAACTTCTCAGTAGATTAACTAGCTATTCTTTATTTTGCTTCTTATGTGGTCTCCTGGGATATGATGGTGCGGCATAAACATGTACCAAAAAGGTTGCAAGTGCACAACCGTGTCAAGTTATAGTATTTAAGATATCGATCCCACGAGGAAGGTGTTTTGTAGGAGAAAATATAAATTTGGTTCTTATTTTGTGTGCGTGACAAGTAGGAGTGATAAGTGAATGTGATTGTGAAGAGATTGAGATAGTGAAAATGGTGTGTAAATAGGTGCAAGTTTAAGTGAGAGTGGATTTAAAAAAAGAATGAGTATGATCAATAAGGTGAGAAGGAAGAAATGAATAAAATCAAGAAACAAAATAAAAAAAAAATCAAGAATGAAGAATAAAATTCTAGAATAAAAAAAATACAAGAAATTAAAGATGGTGGATTCAATTATAGATATGGGTAATCTACAATTGAACCCACTTCTTAGAAAATGGTGATTCCCTAGAGGGTTCTAGCCTAAAGGCGAATCAAACAAAATAAAAATAAACAAAAAGAAAAACTAAACCCAAGAGGGTTCTAGCCTCAAGGTGAATAGTGCAAGAAATTAAAATCTAACTACAAAATAAATTACAAAATCTAAACTATAAAATAAAATTGCAAGAATTAAATGCAAGAAAATAAATCTACTCTATAAGCATAAAATAAATCTAAAGCAAGAGGGTTCTAGCCTCTTGGCTATTTAACAAGAAAATAAAATCTAACTACAAGCATAGAAATAAATCTAAACTAATAAGCAATAAAAGAGAAAAAGAAAAGAAATGCAAACCTTCAAATAATTCTCCATCTTCATCTTCATCTTCATCATCCAACAAAAGGAGAAAGAACAAATTTAAAAAGAAAATAATTATTTTTAATTAATTGCAACTAAAGTTATAATTTTGGAAGGCCTTCTCAATTAAGAGTAGCCCTCCTCTCCAAAAGGAGTTACAAAAATTTTCACACCTCTAACCCCTCACTCTCTACCCCTATTTATAGTAAACATCAGTGAATGAGAGCCATTGGATCAAACTTGAGCCCCAAGACAAGCAAAATCAGCCATTGACGAGCGCTACAGTAACCTGGTATCGATGCAGACATCGATGCAGGTATCGATGCCAGCATCGATGCCCACATTGATGCCGACATCGATGCCCACTATTTCCAAATTCTGATTTCACGGATAGCTTCGTCTCGTCGAGATAGGCGATTTTCATATATTATATGTTAAATTCCGCCTTCCGGATTAGGAGATATCGTCGTTTCTTTGTGGCCAACCATTTTGAATATGATTTCTTTTCATATTGGATTTTTGATTTTCTCCGGCTTCTACAGGCTACACGACTTGATTCTGGGCTTTTGGATAATTTGGAAATTGATTTTCCAATGTGCTTCTTTGCTTCATTTCTTCATTTAATCAATGGGTTTTTGTTGAGAGATGAGAGTTTGAGATTTATTCTTCATTAACCTGCAATTAAAAGATAAAAATAATTATTAGTGGTATATTTATTCATATAAAATAGATAATGAGGGTATAAAATTGTAATAAAATATGATTATCAAATACCCCCACACCTAAACTTTTGCTAGTCCTCTAGCAAAGAAAATAAAAAGAAAATCCTAACTCACTTTCGCAGGAATCGCGGTTGTATTTAGCGCATACAACAAGCCTTTAAACCCCTAGGTTACCCTAGTGGACGAGTTGTAGTCTCGTGAGGGTTTGCAGTGAATATACCCACAAAATTCGGTCAACTTGCCAAATTAAAGAAGTCAGTAAATAACTAAATTCACTTGATAACTTTTAGATAATCTAATTGGAGCCAGTTATCACTCAAGAAAACATTTTTATATATAACTCTAAGGTATATTTTTAAGAAAATCTTCTCATTGTAGCAATACAAAACCAAGCCAAACTTAGAAATTTAATTTAAAAGTTTTGAAAAGAACATGCCAACTCTTTGTTTTAAATAATTTTCAAGTTGCTTGATTTAAAATATTTTCCAAGACCATATATACAACTATAAAACATTTAAAACTTTTTTTTATTTTTATTTTTTTTAACACTTTCTTCCTTGGTGATTTTTTCTACTTTAACGGGCTTTCTAAGTGACCATTTAACGAGTTTTGGGCCAATGGATCCCAACCCAAATGGGCTTAGGTCATTAAGTATGGAAATACTCCTTGGGCTTAATTACTCGGTCAGCTTAGGCTTTATAAGATAGAATCACCTTGAATTAAAGAGTTTTTTTTCTTTTTGGTGCCCATTTTTCGCACTCTTCTTTTGCAATTTTTTTTTCGGTGCCCATTTTTTGCACTCTTATTTT